GAGAGTCATTATTCAATTTCTGAATAACATATAAAATAAATTACAAAAACGGAAATGGTTTGGTTATTTTTAACCTTGATCCATAAGAAATCTCATCGAGGCTGACGATCATTACAATAGTTACGTCAACCAGAAGCAATGAAAGATGTTCAAGAAAATTCTTCCGACAAGCCACTTTAAGCCATATTTATTAACATTTGCTTTAAGAATGACATCCTCGGCCAGGGAAATTGAGATGAAACTCAGGAACTAAGTTTACAGTTGATTAGCCGAAGCGAAGTTGACTTTGAAAGAGCATGTTAGGACCTACTACGTTACGGAAGTTTATCCAGAGAGTGTATTTTATGGCATATTGGCTTTTTGTGATCATGTTGGTTTTCAAAACAGTTAATTCTTGAGTCAATCTTCTCATTAGATTGGCTTCCTTTGAAGATTCCTCCAATTTTACTCAGCAACTATTGTGGGATTTCGTATAAAATGAAATTATGCCTGATTTAACAGTTTCAGTTGATTTGAGATCCAAGCGGCAATTGGAATGAGGCAGTCGAAGGGAACAAATCACTATTTTGATGGCCTTCTGAAAACTGCCTTTAATCTTATCAATTGATAAAATTCTGAAACATTGTCTTCAACGTAAATCATTAACCCTCGGTCAAATATATTACTCATACATTGCAATAACAAGCCTTTCGTAATAACCCTCCCAGAGTAATTCCCAGACACAAATCTTCTCCATTACGTAAATGGAAATATTTAGATGTGATAAATATGGACGTGTATCAATATGAATAATGCAGTTAATGCAAGTCGTTAGGGAGATGATAGAGCGTCAAAAATTAAAACAGTAAGGGGCTGTTCAGTCATGTAAGATGGAATAAACGTTGTGGCTGATTTGACAAGAAAATGCAATTTATCAGATGGATCTTAGGTATAAAAATATTATCGCGGCAAATGGAATATCTGATCAATTAAATTAACGTCCATCAATATCGTTCTATGTCAAATAATAAACCTTCATTATTTCATCTAAATGGTTCCTAGTTATTCTGTTCTTGCTATTATTTCCGCTTTTAAAATTGTGTTCTTTTCTTATAAAAACATTATTTTCAACACATGTCTTATGCCAAGGACACTGGCAAAAGATCAATCGCTAGTAAAGGGTACTAGACGCCCGAGGGGTCAATTACTGATCAAAAATGGTAGAATGGTCGTAGTTATTGCTGAAAAAATGATCACTTGCCGAAAGGCTATTGAAAAAATGTTATAAAGTCATGGTAATACAGCTAAAAATTCCAAAATCTGAAGATTTCACAGTTAATCTATATGTAGTTATATTTACCCCAATTTCATGTTTAATTCCGACAGAGATTGACTTGTTTAATTCAATGTAATGTTAAAAGTATCTTTTATTTAGCTTTAAGGTGTCAACAGAACCTTATCGATTCTTAACGATCGGTCTCAAAATTTGTCCACCAAAAAGCACATGCCTAAAGCGGGGCCTAAAGATTGGGTTCACTGCATATATATTAGGTGCCGAGATTGACATTTTCAATGTTCCAACGACAGGAAGCCTTATCAGAATATATGCCAGAATCTAGCATGAGAAGACGGGAGATTGTTTATCATCTCGCTTGCAGCGTAATGGTGCCGTCAAATGATCAGTGATAAAGAGACACGAGTCTAGCAAGACACATTGTGCTCATTTTTGAAACGTCAACTGGGATAATCTGCTTCGTTTAAATCCACGATCGGAAATAACACCAGAAGTTGTGAAACAGATCATGATCAACAGGGGAACTCGATAGGTTGAATTCTTTGAAAAAAAATTAAATTGCAAAATGACCAACATTCTGTATGTTACGAATTGATCATCGCTATTTCTGCTTATGGCAGGAATGACAAATTAAGTTTCCTACTACCTTAATGAAATTACTCATGATTACATATGAGTATAACATTTTCCTACTATAGAGACTAAAAATTATGAAGTATCATTGAACAAAGTTGGTCATTATGTATGATTTGGTATCATGAGTACTGGATACACCCAAATAATTGAAAGTACTACATTCTTGAATAAATAGATATCTTCAATTTCCATGATATCGAAAAAAACAATAATAACTTCTGAGATGTATTTTAAAAATTGTCAATTTTGCGACAGCAGTTCTATTGCACAAAAGCTTTGTAACAAGCTTCTTGACCCCCTCGCCATCATGATAATCATGATAAGTAGAATCACCGACAAATCCACTTTAATTATTAATGATGTCACCTGACCCTGTAATAAAATAAATTAAGCCAATCAAAACAGTTTACCAGTGTTGATTGATTGCGTGATTAAATTTGACAGCGTTCAACCGTGGAAAATAGAATTTAGGCAAAATGAAGAATTCCTGCACGAGGAAGAATTAGTTGTGTTGTATCAGAAAGTTATAATGCAGCTTCGTCAGTATTTGTCTTTTATATTCAGGTTTCCGGAATGCAGGTAAGTGATATCACCCCGGGATTGAAGAATATAGAAATTACCTAACTAATGAACACCTTGGGAAATATACATAGAATCTAGGATGGTATACCAGTTGTTTTAAATAAACTTGATAAAACATTGTTTCCTGGGAATACAATAACAATAACGTGAGGAGTTCTTATATATGATGACTGATGCTTCCATTCCTTTACTTCTGTCAGCTGCAGGAAAATCAAAATGTTATCAAATTAATTCTTGAAGGTAGTACGCTGTGTGGCAAAGCCTGTTGCTAATATCTTTTTCTGTAACTGATAAAGCACATCATATTCAAAGCGCTGAAGATATTCACCAAATTCACGTATATGGCACATAAAAGATAAAATTTGAATTGAACGCACTTGTATAGATTTTCCTTCGGTAGGAAAATAATTAATACAGATTAACATAATCACATCATTAATGATCACAAGTTCCATATACATTGCTCTTAGATTTGACGACCTGTATTAGTTGAATTACAAAATATTTGTCAATTACCGTTTGCTTCGTCTCTTTCAATCTATTGATATTTATGCTCTTGGGAAAAGTCAAGGATATATCGCTACAAGCTTCGTTTAATGTCTTTTTCTTGTTTTTCGTTGAATTAGTTTTATCATGACCGTATTCATGACATTACAATACGATTGTTTTCTGTTATATGTAAATTGGATCAAACAACTTATGAACTCCTCCGTTCTATCAACAAAACTATTACTCTGCTGAGAAAACAAGTGCCAGCTGTTAAAGGCCACATATAAAGTATAAACCACAATTTATTTTGCTCCCAAATATGTACGTTCTCTGAAAGATATGATAATGAAAAACATTTGTGATAAAAATATTGTGGGAATTCTACCTACAACGCGTGAAATAAGGAAAGAAGAAAAATCGAACCTTTGAGGTTCCGACATTTTTTACTACAGAAACGAGAAACGAATCGTTTCGGTAACCAGCGCAATCGAGCAGATCACCAGTGTAATGACTCCTTCAAGAGTTATGATATTGTTGACCTTCTATATACACAAACAGGACAACTCGATGTATGATATTACTATGTATGATCGATTCACAACCCCCTTGGCAACAATTAGGTATACCTAAGTCTCGATCGTTTTCACTCTATATAGAAATTGTCACTTTGTCAGAAACTGCTCAAAGACATATACAGGGTGGTCCAAAAAATGCAACACGCGTATGAAAATATCCATGGCTTTCATTCACACATGTGAGAACTTCTTTGTGTTTGGCATAAATATAACTATCAGTCGAAACCTGTTCGCGCTGACAAGTGTCAATCATAAAAACACTACAGCTGCCAAACGTTACACTCATTTCAAAACGTGCACCAGATATCATCAATCTTACTTTAGATATTATGTAGTGGCTCATATTATATTGTTATATAATATTGTTTTGTATTTTACTGTATACATGTACTGTGTAATCTGTGTATGCAATTTTATCATTTGTGAAAAATCAATACAAATAAATGAATTGAGCCATCAACCACATAGCATCCTTACATGTTACTCTTTCTATCAGAGTAAATTAATATTTTACGTAATCTTGTAGCGACGTAATATAAACAAAAGTGATCGATAGATGCCTCAACTATTTGATAATGTTTATATGTGAAGTTTTTCCAAAGAGATCTTGTGTACGACTAAAATGCGAGAGAATACTCAATTGAAAACGTTTTTTTCTCAAATTATATCTGCCTAGAAAAATCAAGAACATTCCATCGTTGTTAAGAAAAAGTTAATTTTATGCCTCGGCAGCGAAAATGTTAACAAATGTTCTCTTCACAAATGATTGGTTTATAAGGATCGAATGTTCCAAACTTATGAAGAACAGTATAGGTTATGCATTTTGTTATTGTCTTATTCGATTTTTTCTGAATTATCTTCAAGGTTCTTGCCTGGATTGGCAAATTCAATATTAATATTTGACTTTTTTTAAATCAAATTTAGTTTAAAAGGTCTAAGTGCACAATCAATTTATTTTGCACCAGCTTGCAGGATTTGAACGTGCGTAATGCTTAAATCGACGAGATTTATGTAAAAACAGAACAGTGGCTCTCAATAAGTGATTACAAAATAAAATATTAATATTAAACCAACAAAAAGGAAAAAATCAATTAGGTTTGTTCTAAATGGCACGTTAATCCATCTGGTTGGTGAAATTATGTCTAATTGTGTGTTTACCTTCAAGGTTTGGAAGTAAATTGAACCTTATGTGGGACATACCATGTGTTGCAGGTAGAATTTCAACATCTTTATTGCGATAGCAAGAAACAAATTTCTCCAAATAATCACAACTTATACTGTTATATACCATACCATGCGCCTGTCAAATCGGATTTATTTTTCGCTCAATTTGGTTTAAACAATATGTAAAATCTTAATTTAGTCTGTAATACATCAACTATACCGAACAATTATAAAATTACAAATATAACTTATTTGAAATTAGAATCAAGTTTGCAACTTACCTTTTTTCGTTTGTGGGAGTAATAAATCGGAGCGATCACCTTTCTTGTTTCATCAATAATTCGCCACTGGTCATCATCACAACATCTTGTGTTATCGCTTTCTTACAATTGGAATAGTTTACGGTGCCGCAGAGCGCCAGTAGTGCTCAATGATTAGTTTAAAACGTTACTTATCCACTGGATACTACACGTTAAGAGAATATTGCTAGAAACAGCAAACGACGTCTTCAGTGGTAAAAAGCGCACGAATTCTGCGATTATGCCTGCAGCTCCTCATCTTCTGCCAGAGATATCTTCGGCAGAAGCAACTACTATCGCTGCTCTTATTCTAATTCTGTTACATTAGGAATTGCTCTTCCTGTTTTGTTTGTTATCGATTTCATGAATTGTAATTGTGAATTCGCCCCGTTGTGTTCTTTTTTGTTATTTGATGACGAAACTACACTTATTAGTTATTACTCGTGGCGTTATTCAAGAATAGTAAATAACAATAGACTATTTTAAACTCAAACACTATGACATTGCCTATTCTTTACACTGTTCATAAGTTATGAATTGTTGAAGAATTCGAAACAAAATAATAAAACACTGATTTAAAACTGAATACGGTCCTGTTTTAATTGTGTTAGATGGTGATACAAAGCACAATCATACATCTGCAATCCATGGACAACTCGAGGATAGGCTCCCAGAGTTTTGATCTTATTTCCGAACAAAAAATTCATAACACACAAGAAATGATCAAAATATTAGTTCAAATCTTTTGGATCGGTGATTGTGAATTTATAGTTAGTTATAATGTCTGAAAATAACGATATTTTCAATGTTGTCGTCGATCATGGTCAAGGTCGAATATCGATTTGGAGGTCTTGGGACCAATCCTTCTTGGACAGCTCCCTAATATAGTTGTTCTATTATTGCATCCACTCAATAATCGAGACGTCACTCTACAACACCGAGAATGGAAGTAGGGTTATCTGCACGAGATAAAATGCGCGTTCCATAAAATTATAGGAACACCCAATTAATAGTTTGGCCATTGGAGATATGACAGCATCATTCAAATTAAATAAGGTCAATAATGAAAATATAGGGCGAGAAGAAACGTCAGTCGAGGTGAGAGGTCAGGTTAGGTGAAATGTCAAACTGTGTGGGTATTTGGGAGTGTAATGTTAGTTGAGTTGAGAGGTCAGATGAGGTGAGAGATCGGGTAAGGTGAAATGTCAAACTGTGTGGGTATTTGGGAGTGTGATGTTAGTTGAGTTGAGAGGTCAGAAAAGGTTAGAGGTCAGGTTAGGTGAAATGTCAAACTGTGGGAGTATTTGGGAGTGTAATGTTAGTTGAGTTGAGAGGCCAGATAAGGTTAGAGGTCAGGTTAGGTGAAATGTCAAACTGTGGGGGTATTTGGGAGTGTAATGTTAGTTGAGTTGAGAGGTCAGATAAGGTTAGAGGTCAGGTTAGGTGAAATGTCAAACTGTGGGGGTATTTGGGAGTGTAATGTTAGTTAAGTTGAGAGGCCAGATAAGGTTAGAGGTCAGGTTAGGTGAAATGTCAAACTGTGTGGGTATCTGGGAGTGTAATGTTAGTTGAGAGGTCAGATAAGGTTAGAAGTCAGGTTAGGTGAAATGTCAAACTGTGTGGGTATTTGGGAGTGTAATGTTAGTTGAGTTGAGAGGCCAGATAAGGTTAGAGGTCAGGTTAGGTGAAATGTCAAACTGTGTGGGTATTTGGGAGTGTAATGTTAGTTGAGAGGTCAGATAAGGTTAGAAGTCAGGTTAGGTGAAATGTCAAACTGTGTGGGTATTTGGGAGTGTAATGTTAGTTGAGTTGAGAGGCCAGATAAGGTTAGAGGTCAGGTTAGGTGAAATGTCAAACTGTGTGGGTATTTGGGAGTGTAATGTTAGTTGAGTTGAGAGGCCAGATAAGGTTAGAGGTCAGGTTAGGTGAAATGTCAATCTGTGTGGGTATTTGGGAGATTAAGGTTAGAGGTCAGGTTAGGTGAAATGTCAAACTATGGGGGTATTTGGGAGTGTAATTTTAGTTGAGTTGAGAGGTCAGATAAGGTTAGAAGTCAGGTTGGGTGAAATTTCAAACTGTGGGGGTATTTGGGAGTGTAATGTTAGTTGAGTTGAGAGGTCAGATAAGGTTAGAGGTCAGGTAAGGTGAAATATCGAGTCGGGATTGTATTTGTTTTCATAAGATCTCAAGACGTCCATTATCGTGCATATCGTTTTAGTTTAATCATTGAGATATAACGAACAATTGCAAGTTCGATAAACTTGACACTTAACACACCACTGGAAATCATCTTCCGCATCATATTTCAATTCAATAAAAGAAGCTACATGTACCTCAGAAAAACCTTTGTAGTACAACAAAACAAAAAAATGATTTTAATTGATAATTTCGTCATACGTTTAGTTTGAAAAACAGCGATATTTTCATTGGACACATTCCTTCAAGGAAATATCGATCGTATTCATTGATTGGAATGTTTGTCTGGTACCGGGTGTCCCAAAAAAGTGAGTCGCTTTTTGACAAGTATTTTCCCAGCAATAGATAACTCGAACTCATTGAAAATTTCAATAAAGTAGCCTTTAGGGTATCATTTGCAAGTGGTACAAATATGAAAGGAACCACATATACATGTAATGTGAATAGCATCTGTCAATCAGTTTCAGTCTTAATAGCTTGTCAGTATGTCAGGTCTATTGATTTGTTTCATTGCTCTCTTTATCCCTAATCCCAAATTTCAGTTTGGAAGGATAAACAATGTGTAAAAATACACTACACATTCAACATGCATACGAGATAGGGATAAACATGTCATGGAAGGCTATATATATCGTCGGAATGAATACACAAGCATTTCTACTTCAATTCTTTCGGCTTCTTTCAGACTGAAATAAGTGACGTTTCCGTTGATATTGGATAATTTGGGCTTGGTTCTTTAAGTTGTCAATACTTCCACAATATGCAATCAATCTCTTTCATATTTATATCATTGGCTAATGATATCCTTTGCTCATATACATGTACTTGTAATTATAATATGGAAATAAATATAACATGACATAGTACACGTCTGATAACTTTTTCAAAGAATTTGGCTAATCTATTGCTGAGAAAATACTTGTCAAAATCAGCTTCTTTTAAACTTGAAATGGATGACTTTTCCATTGATATTAGATATTATTTTCCATTGATATTAGATAGTTTTGCATGGAGTTTTAATCTGACAATACTCACATCATATGGAACTGATCTCTTTCTTTAAAACACTTCCTAATGATACCCTATATATAGTTTTCAAATACAGATTTTCAAAGAATTCGGCTAATCTATTGATTAGAACATACTTGTCAAAAACGGCTCACCTTTTTGGGACACCCGATACATACGTAAAATGAATAAAATCCATGATTTACGTAACAAGCATACATTTGTACATCTCAAGGTAATACATCGAGAGTTATGCAAAACACGGTTCGAAATAAGATACATTAATTTCTTGTGCTATTTGGGTTCTGCTCATTCTTATCTATAATCTGGAGATTTCATTCAATGTCTTTGGTTCATACGATAGTTCAGTTATCAGTATCTTCGTGATTCCAGATACAAATATTACTTATATGAATAAAAGCTTAATGATCTGGCGCTTGCTTTAAACATAATCGTTGGGTTCAGTAGAAATTATATTAATGGATCATTTCCCATACTCTGCATAGACCATGTATACTGTTTTGGAGCTTCCAAAGATAATAGACGATTGGGATCGGGATAGCATCCATATGGTAAGATGTTTTACCGATCTCACAAAGAATTGACAACCTCATAATTCAAATGGATCAAAGAACAAAAATGTGTCTCATTAAAATACCAATGTCTTGTTGAATGTTTTGTCAAACTCTGAAACAATCAGAAACACTATTCATTCCTTCATCACAGAATTGTAGTGGGTCGGAGTCATGATTTGGAAATACCATTTCTTGATTTACATAAAGTAGAAACTGGCAACGATCAATCTACTTTTCACTATTCACTGTAATTATTTTGAGTTAAAGTACAACTTTAAGATTAGACTGTCATCTTAGCATTGTGAACATAGACCACCTGAGACTTTTCCTCCAACTGCCTCATTTTCGAGCATTACAGTGATTATTTTCAGTTTGGATAATATCGAGTATTTTAATTTCTTTATTAGGATTTAACACTGTTAACAACTAGCTATTACTTATTATCAGTATATTGTCACATCATTAAATCCATCTATTTGTAATTGTGATACAACCATGCCATGATGTGTTTAATACAGGGTGAGCCATAAAAGAGGAACCCAAACAAATCTTAATTACTCAGGCATTCAGCATCACGTGTCATGGCTCACATCTTCCTGGATCCTCCCTACCTCCTGTTCCAAAGTGCCAAGGCTTATTTGAAGCTTGTTTTGTAAAGGAGTGGTATCGATATGGCGAACTGAATTCAACAATGTTTTTCTCTTAAACCAATCATTGAAAACATTCTGTAATAAAACACGGTATTTTATGTAATGTTGACTGATTGACAACAATTTAATGCAAAAATTCTTTAGAAATATTTTATGTAACTGTTTTTGTTAACATTTTTTGTTTTTTAGTGATATTGTTTTTGCTCCTTTCTACCAATTCTTGAGAATGAAATAAAATGTCTTTCCGAACCTGGTTGGAATAAAATAGCATATACAACATGTTTTTAGACCTCTCAATATTATGGTTATACAAAGGAATTTTTGGTTGATTTTAAAAAGTATTCAAAAAATTAATACAAAATCCCCCAAAATAGACAAAAATGAAGATAAACCTTTTTATGTCCCCACCACATAGTGTGGGGCCATATTGTCGGCCTAGGCGCGTCCGTCTGTCCGTCTGTCTGTCTGTCCGTCTGTCTGTCTGTCCGTCTGTCCGTCTGTCCGTACGTCCGGCAGTTTTCTCCAAAACCGCTACAGATATCACCTTTAAATTTTCAGGGATAACTAATGAGTGCATACAGATGTGGATGAAAAAAAATTAACTCGATACCTACTTCCTGTCGGCCAT